GCGGGGCTGAATTCCCCTGGCCCTGCAGCCAGCTGGCTGCGCTCGGTGGTGGGAGCGTGAGCGCTTGCAGGAAAGCGCTCTCCATACACTTCCCCCTATGGATGCTGGGTCCCCTCTTCACCTCTGGACAGTGCCCACCCCAGCAGCTGGGCAGCCACTGAGCGAGTGGACAGCAGGGTGGGGATGGGTGCAGGTGGGTGAGGACCCAGCCCCTGCAGCCCCCGGCTGGGGAGGGCCCCCTCCTGCACAGTGCAGGGGTGGGGGAGATGGCTAAGACCTCCAGCTGCAATTAGCAACACCTCAACTGCCAAGCCTGCTCAGCTAACGAGCGCACTGGGGAGTGTGTACGTGCGCAGGCAGGAGCATGGACCCACTCCCACCCCTGGCACCCAACACGGCACCTCCCCCGCAGGCCCCTTGCTTCTGTGCACCCAGAGACTGAGTGCCCAGCCCGTGCCCTGCTGGAGAGGTGCTCGGGATGCGTGGGGTAGGCATCACCGGTACCAAATCACCAGGTGCAGCCCAAGGGCACAGCTCACACCATGGCTCTGCCCTAGGGACTGCAAGGGATGCTGGGGATGGCCACAGCCTGGCACCGAGCTCGCTTACACCATGGTTTTTATGAAAGTCTGGTTAGGAAGGGGACAGATCACTAAGGCCAGATCCAATCTGAGCCTGAGGTCCTCCTTCCTCCAAGACAGACAATAACTTTCCCGCGGAGTTCCTCAGTGCCTTTGGGCTAAGCAAAGGAGGTGAAAAATCACCCGCAGCATCCAAGCGTCCGACCACGGCGCCATCAGGCACAGACCTCCGCACTGCTGTGATGCTTTCTCAAGGACGCCATCAATTCACAGGCAATATCATATTGTCTTCTTCTACCACAGCTGAGCAGGCAGCTCCTGCGGCCGCTTCACCCTGTGATCTCTCCTGGCCTTTCTCATGCTGCGTATGAAACTTATAGGCAGAAAGGAAGTTTTAGCATCTACCTAACTCAGGAGAACCAAGTATCTCACCACCCACAGTCTTTAGGAGAAGGTCCAAGAGAAGCCACAATTATCAGGAAAGGGAAGTCTAAATTTCAGTTTTGCTCTTCCATGGGGTTTGTGTTCCTCGGGCTCTGCCTAGAAATATGCCCAAGTTTTTCCATGCATCGGTATAACCTTACAGCACTGTGCATTAAGGGAGCAGAAATCACTACCAAGGATGGATAAAAAACAGGCAAGAGTAACACGGAAGAGCATTCAGAAAGGTCTTTAACATGCTGTAACAAGCTGGATAGAAAGCTCACACCTACCTGGAGGGCTCTCCAGTGAAATAAATGTATTACATCCCTCTGGACTGTTTCAGAGAGATATTAAGGAGAGATAGATGGAGTATGTACACTGCATGCCTGAAATTAGCCTAGAGCTACTAAATGCCAGAGCAGCGTTTCAAAGGCACTGCCCTGTGAAGGGTGAATATCAGTGCTGCTCTTGTCCCCCTTTCTTCCACTCCTCACTCCCACCCACATGTGCAAATGGGTTTAGGTGCAGGTAGGCAGGCTGACATACCTGCAAAAGGCTTTATTTGAAGAGCTTCTCAGGCACAAGCCCTGACTATTACACAGCTGGCTGCCCCAATCACTCAAGAAAGCACTACAACCATACATGAAAAAGTTATCTCAAAAATAACAAGGCATTAAAACACTTGAGCTCAGTTGCATTAAAGGTGGCTGGAGCATTTCTATTCCCCAGCCTGATCACATTTGTGCGAAGGCCAGGGAACCTCATGTCGCCCGGTTTCTTCTGCTTTAGTCCAGCAAGAGAAACACATTTCCTCAGATCTGCACCTGGAAGGAGGCTCAGAGAGACGGCCTTGCCCTCCCCTGTTGCAGCACCCATCCCTTGCACGGGACTTTGAGGGCACTGCCTCCAAGGAGAGGGTGGGCAGGCGATTCTGGCAGCCAGGACAGGCACTCAGAACTGCTCTTTCATGGGTGAAGGACATGGATGGGGACCCAAAGGCCATGCCCCTTGCAAGATGCCCCAGAAGCTACAAGACAATGCTTAGCTCATGAACCAACTGTGTGCAGAAAGTCCAGCAGAGATGTGAGCATCTCCCTAATTTCACCATGAAGCTGCAGTGCCCCTTGGCCACACTGCTTCCACCTGAGGCCATTTTTGGGGAGCCTGGCTGCACTGCACCAGTAAGCCACTGGGGCTGGGGATAGACCAGCTTAAACCTCCGCTTTCAAGGTTTCACTTGCCTCCCTGCCTGCAAGCAGCTATTCCCAGGTTCTCTTGTATTTCCCACTGAAATGCCTAGAATTTACAAGTTTATTTTCAAGCCAAGGCTGACCCTCAGAAAACACAGAGCAAGCCCCACCAGACTGCCTGGGTTTGCTGCCCAGTGCTCATGTCCAGAGAGCAGCTGTGCTCCCTGCCCGCCTGACACGCTGGTACCCCTCGCTAGCTCGCAGCACAGCCCACGACAGCAACTACCACCCTGCTGTACACAGAGCAGTGCAGCGATTTGTCTGCTTCTTCCCCTGTACATAACAAATCCCGCCAGTGCTGCAGTCCCAGGGGAGAGGCGGAAAGAAACATGGTGGTTTAGAAGCTGAGACTCCCACAGCAGTGCCCACCAGGTGACCCTTGTTATCTGCATTCCCCGATCCTCAATATGGCACCCACACAACATTTTATGAGCTTCCTCATGCCATCCACTGTAACATGGCCTAACAGAGACAGTACTAACATGAGCAAGACCAGCAGCATCCAAGGGGCCTAGCTGAAGGACAGGGAGCAGGGCTTGCGTGGCAATAGCTCAGTGCTCGTACAATGATGAACTGCAAATCACTTGGTTTTATACGGGAAGCTCTTTAGCACAAGGACGGAGGGCTGTGTTTGCATCGCCGCACCACCTCTGGACCATGCAGGAAACTCTCCCTGGACCGCGCAGCTACCCAGCACCTAAGGACGCCGCTGTAAAAGTCGCAGCTTCAGCTCAGCATCCCGAAACATAACGTCCTCTTATCTGACAAGCCGAGCTCAGCAGTGGCGAGGGAGGAGGAGGAGGAGGTGCAAAGGCTGCTACAGGGAGCCCAGCCCTGGCTCCCAGCTCCAGAAGGAGCTGCCGCGATTGATGCTGTGACGGTGCAGCCCTTCTCTCAGCGGGCAGCTGCCTCACGCCCAGCCGGCATGCGGAAACCTCTTTGTCATGGCAGCTAATGAGCAGATTGTATTTCACAGCGCCGCGGCTCCGCGCAGGTACAACCAGCGGCTTTCATCTCCCTGGTAGCTCCCACGGGAAAAGAGCAGCCACTGCCCCGCAGAGCAGGTCATGGTCCGGTCTCGCTGAGTTTTTTGGTGTTTGCAGCTTCTAAACCCTCTGTCAGTTGGCACCTGCCCATGGCTCTTTCATAGTACAGGAGTGGAGGGAAAGAGGTTGGGGGAGCACCCACCAGAGTTTGTGCAGGAACACAGTGGTGGGATGTGGGATCAATGCTGAAGCACATGGGAGAGCAAGGAATCATCCATGAGGGGGGTGGCACCTAAGTTATCGGGAGACTTATCTTTAAAACAACAGCAAAATCCATTTTAAGGACGTCCACTGCATTTAACAGTCTGGGGTTTATTCCTCTAACTTCTCCCCTGGCTTTAAACCCGATCCTAACTGCACGCCTGCTCCACGTGCTCTGGGGCCACTGCCCCTGCCGTGCTGGGAGAGCTGGCTGCGGGTCACCCACTGCCCCCATTCACCCAGTGGGCAGGAGCTGGCCTGCATCTGTCCATCCGGGAGCAACCCGGGGGGGGGGGGGGGGGGGGGGGGCTGAGGCCCTGGGGTAGGAAGGGATGTGGCTTGGCCAGGGGAATTGGCTCTTTAGAAGAAATTCATCAAGCACTTGCCCCAGGCTCAGATTCATCTCAAATAATGTTCAAAGCCCCCCACCCCGGTCCCCCCAGCCCAGGCCCCCAGAGCTGGCAGGTACACTTGCTGGAGGGGTGCATGCGGGAGCAGCCCAGGGTGCTCCAGGCGATACCTGGAGCAGCACAGGCAGGGGACTGTGCTCTCCTGCTCACTGGTTTGCTCTCCAGAGCCACCCACCAGGCCATGCTGGGGGGGTTAGTGCAGACCTCGTGTCACCGACACCTCCCGCATCCTCCCCTGGTGCTCAGGGGTGCTGTCACGGCGGTGTGGTTTTCATCACTTGAGTAGGTAAAGACAAATGAGATGTGGCTTCCTCAGCCTCTTCCTCCCCTGCAGCTGCTCCCCCAAGATCCCAGCACAGCATCAAAGGCAGGTTCTCAGCAACAGGGTTGTGCATCTCTCTGACATGGGTCCCCAGCCTGCTGGCAGTGTTTGCTGGGTCATGGACCCATAAATCCCTTCCAGGGGAGATGCAGAGCACCCAGCCACTCTGCCAGACTCTCCACTCACAAGCCCCCCACCCCAGGAAAAGGAAACCTGCTACTTTTAACAAGGTTTTTCATATGGTTTCTTTATCAGCACCATGTGTGCTGGGAATTCCCCCTGCCCAGGTGTTTTTGAAGAGTTGAGGGATGCTGCGAGGCACTGGTGAGAACCACTGCTCCCTGTGAAGCTGGGAATGCCCTTCACCTCAGTTTTTAGAGATCTGAAGTTGGGTGCTGAGGCTCCAGCCTGGCTTTCCCCTGGCCAGCTCACCACTAGCAATCCACCTGCCTGCCCTGTGTCATGCACAGTGGTCCTGCCACGTCCTTCCCTCTCTCTGACTCTGCAGTCCACGCTGGCACCTGCCTCCCGCCCATGCTACCAACCCTGGGCACTAGATGAAGTTTCAGCTACAGAGGTATCGCTCTCCCATCTGTCTCCAGCACGTTGCATTTGACACGAACTAACGTCTCCTATTAACATTGCAAGAAACAGATCTGGAAAAATTAATTTTCAAGCAAAGTTCAGGCAGGCCAGAAGGTGAGGATCCCCCCCATAATGAGCAGGGAGAAGCCAGCGCCAGCGTGACGCCCCCCGGGCAGACCTACCGGCAGGGGGTTGAAGTTCTGGTCCACCAGGTGGTTGTGGCCGTGGTCGAGGAAGGAGTGCCGCACCACCACGTCGATGCCCCGGCTGGCCAGCAAGCCCAGCGTGTTCAGCCACCTGGGGATGGAGGGAGCAGAGTCAGGCTGCCATGGGGGGACCACCCGGCCCCCGTGGCACCGCCGTGCTCCGGCACACAGCATCGCTCTCAAGCACCCGACCTGGTGCCTGCTCCCAGCACCTGAGCTCAAGCCTTCAGATGGTTTTGTGAGCTGGGTATTAACCGGCTCCCACCATCCCTGCCCCAGCAAGCCTGCACACCTCTCCCACGGCCACCTCTGCCCCAGCTGTGCCCAGCTTGCATGTCCTAACACTGCATCTGAGCCCCTGCATGCACCCCAGAATCACAGCTCCATGCCCAAAGCCTGGGGTGCTCCCCCAGCCTGCCAGCATTCTGCACCCACCACCTCAGCAGGGCGGACTGGACCTTTGTACCAGCCTATCTCCTCACAACCCTTGGGCAAAGTCTTCAACCCTCACATCCTGACGCAGCCCTGATACCCTGGGCATGTCCCCGTGCCTCCCCACAAAGCCTGGATAATCTTCCTTCACCTATTGTGATCATGGGCAGCTCTGAAGATCTGAACTGGGGCTTTGCAGCAGGATGCCTGTGCAGCGAGGCTATGCCAGTAGACAAACCCCAGGAGCCAGGAGTGGTTATAGCTTCGAATAAGGAGAGAAAATGGTTTCCAGGGCAGAGCCCTCCCGAGCACTTCCCTGGGCAGGTGCCCCAGGAATGAATGCTTGCAAGGCCATGTGGCTGCCGTCTGAACCAAAAGTGCAGGGCGGGAGGAGGCCCAGGTGATCCCGAGCTGCCAAGCAAGACAAGCCTGTTGGGATGCCAGCTGGGGGGTCCCAGAGCTGGACTGCTCAGATCACACCTCCCTTCCACACCCATGCCCTCCGGACACACTGTGGGTACCAGTGTGGGATTACGTGTAGTCCCCTCCTTACTCTGCTTCTCTGGGTATGCCAGAGGATGTGTCACCTACAGGAAAGCAGAGCTGAGGAGGGTTAATAGGGATGTTACTGAGAAAACAATGGTGCTCAGGCTGCGGGGGAGTGCTGAGAGGGGTACAGATGGGGTCTCTGGGCACAGAGCTGGCCCTCTCCCTGCTGTAGCAGCTTTGCAGCACCTCAGCCCACAGAGCCCATGGGGTGGCAATGCCCTGGCACCAGCAAGCTGCCGTAACTCACAGGAACCCAGCTGCATAGGAATCAGAGAGGTTGTTCATGCCTCCGGCTGAGGTTGCACCAACACCTTCCAGCCAGATCTTCTTCCCTGGTGTGTATGTGTTCACTACCTGCGCGGGAGACAAAAGCAACGAAAATGAGCCTCATGAACCTGTGATTTAAAGCCAAGGCAGACATATTCTGTGCTACGCCCTGGGAAAGCTTATGTAGACCTTTGGTAATGATGCTGCTGGGCACTCAGTGCCTGCCCGGCCCTGGCATGGGCACTAGGTGCCTTCACCATTGCTGGCTGGCAGGAGACTGTTCCTCACTCTCTCCTGCCACTGACACATGTCCACTGCCCATCTTCTGGAGCTCCCAAACAAGCTCTCATGCTCCCAAACCCGGACGCTGCTCTTTTCCCATGGTCTCCCCATGCACTCCATACTACAGGCTGCCCTGCCATGTCACCTTAGCTCTCCCTGTCCCCATGCAAGGTGGCTGCCAGCTACTGGGAACACCCAAGCCTCAACGGCTCTGCGGCATGGGAGCACTGGGAATTGTACTGCAGCCACATCGAGGAACAGTGGGCACCCAAGAAGAAAGCAGTGGATGCCCCCACGTGTTGGTAGAGCCAGCCCCATGGTTGATGAGGGGCTGTTTTGCCACCTGAGGGGTCCCTGGCACAGGTGGGACATGCAGGTCTGAGCATGCTGGCCCACCCCTCACAAGGCTCCAGTTGGCAGCACCTGTGAGATGCCAGGCAGGACAGGGGGGCTTGGATGGCTGGAGCTGCCCTCTCCCAGCGTGAGCAATCTCTGGCATTGCACAGCACCCTGCCCTCTCTCCTGCAATCCCACTTCTTCAGGCCGGGCGACAAGCTCCCACGACCAGATGTCTGTAAACCCAGCAGCCCGAGGAGCACTCTGTGCAGCCTTATGGATCCTGCCCCGTTAGTGAGGAGCACTGGAATGTGCTAGATGGACTGGGATCCCTCAAAGATGTTAAATACGCCAGCTCTAGGCTGCCTCCCACTCACAGCCTGTGAGAGTCGACATCCCTGACTGAAGCCCCAGAGGTGTTGGCATCCTGCCTGTAATTATCTAAGCCCGCCACCTTCCCCCGTCAGAGAGGAAGCAATAAAACAGGCAAGTGGACAAGCCCAGCTGCTCTAATCAGCCCCGGCAGGATGCACGGACTCAAAGCCAAGCTGGAGGCTATTAGCACCCAGTGCTGTGCTTTTGCTCAGCCACACTGGCATTCCCAGGAGAGCCCTTCCCTGGCCTGACCCACACAGACAAAATCCTGCCCCGTGGGTGCGAGGGTTCCCCCAACATGCACTGAAGGCAGCTTCTTGCTGCCTGTGGTCTGGGGATGGATGGGTTCCTGCTCCCTTCCCAGCAGGTTCCCGACCCACACCAGAGGTAGGACACGTGCCACCACTTTTGGTGGGGTATTGTACCCCCAGTGGGAGAAGGGTTGACCGGTGCCTCTTGCTTGCCCTGCCGCTGAACCCACCAGCCACCGCACCATGCCTCCCTGCAGCAGGAGGATCATCCACATGCGTGGATGATTCCCAGCTTGTGCCAGAGGACTCAGCAAGTGGCTCTTCTCCTCCAGTTTTACTGTGCCGACCCTTGCACCCCCTTTCCAGGGGCCTCTTTGAGTTGTTTACTCATCCTATGGTTTCTCCCTGCAGGAATTACAACAGTAAGACATTGTGGTGACTGGTATGGTATGAAAACGTAGACAAGACAGACGGACAGACAACTCCTCTAGTCCCTAAAGCCTTACCCTCTTACTAGATGCTCCTTATTTCTTCTGGGACTGACAGCTGAGAGGGCTGGTCACATCCCTGGCCCCTGTATCAGCCAAAGCAGGGGGACCTTGCAAAGCCCCTGTCCCCTACCCAGTTGCTAGAGATGCAAGCCAGGTCCCCCCAACAGGCGAGGAGAGGAGTGCTTGCTGCAGGCTGTGCTAGCCAGGCAGAGCCCTGGGCTCTGACACAGCACGCCAGCAACAGCTGGGTTTTATAACACAGTCAAAACATGATCACCAAGGAACAAAAACCCCAGTTGCTCATAATGTTTGTGATTCTCCACTAGTGAAAAATCACACTGGAAAGGCAACTGTCACAACTTTGCAAGCAACATTTTTCGTCAGTGTGAGTGAGTAGGACAAGATATTGCAGTAGGAGCCCCTTCCTGAGCAGGCACAGCACCGGCTGTGCTCAGAATGGTTTGGTACCGGCTGGCTGCTCCCTCCTCTCCTTGTCCTCGGGAGCAAGGTTCAGAGAATACTCACATTACATGCCGCTCCCTTCAGGAAAGAATGGATGGGAGACTTAAACCAGTTGGCTGCTTTAGAAAGGCTTTGAACAGCAGCGTCTGCCCCTGCCCCATGCATCCAGCCCGTGTCCTGGCACACCCGCGCAGCCCACGCCATGCTGCAGCTCGTGGCTGCTTTCCTCCCGACCCACTGCACATCCCACCCCGGGGCCAGGCATCATGCTGCCTGGTCTTTCCTTCCACCCCCTGCATGAGGGCTGCCTGCATTTAGGCTGGGAGCACAGTGAGCACTCAGCACTGCCCTCCATCCCTGCCCCACGCCAGTTCCCCTGGGAGCGCATGGGTGCTGAGGCTGGAGCCCTGGCCACGAGCCGTGCCAAGGCCTCACACCGCGGGCACGGTGTCCCCTCGCCCCTTGCAGACCCTTTGCACTCACGCACTTTCTGGATTTTCCTGATCTGGTCAGAGAGTGTGTCTAACAGACGCGTTTTCAGGAAGTCTGTCACTTTGGCCACACGGCCATCAATGTAGTAACTGGAAAGAAAATAAGAAGACAAGGATCAGACAGCTGGGAATAGCTCTGCCCCAAATCACATCCTCTCATCCCACTGCTGCCCCATGCCAAGAAGCCTCCTTTGCTCCCGGGGAGTCCCTGCTTGCACCCTGCTCTGCCCTGGCCCTCTGGCCATGCCTGTGTCTGGCAGATGCTTTCAGTCACCAAAACAGGGTATGAGGTGGATGCACCCTGAACGCTGAGCATCCTGCACTGCAGAAACCCTGAGAAGTTTTGCACTTTCTTAACTGTTGCTGGTGAAATGGTGGGAGCAGAATGCCAAAGGCTGGGAGCAAAACGCCACCCGCAAAGGCTTTGCAGCACCCTCTGCACTGATCTCACAGAGACCCCATGGCAAGAGACCCTCCAGCATGATGCCAACATGATGCCTGTGATAGCAGTGCCTGGGCTTCATGACCAGGGAGCTCTTGGGAGATCTTCCACTCACCTGGCTCATCCCATCTGTACCCATCCTGTCTTAGGGACACACTGCTTTCAAAACGCAGATGAGCCGTTCAGTTCTGAGCCCAGTTTCATTGCTACTGGAAAGATTGCTTTTACAGGATGGCAAAATGGATGACGCAAATCTAACGGCTGAAACTAAGGGCCCCTTAGCCACAGGAAGACATTGTGAAGACACCAGGGAAGAGAAGGGTCTCAAGCAGCAAATACCCTCTGAGACACTGGGAACTGCTGCAGTGAGTGCCAGCGGGAGGCTACCCGTGCTCCCAGATGTGGGGTTAAGTGCATTGCTCTGCCTGGGTCATGGGACACTCTCCATTCAATGGCTGGTCTGCAGAGGGGACTGTCCAGAACCTCTTCTGGTCTGAGAGCTACAGTTGCTTGTGGACATCCTTCTGCAATAATAGCCCTCTAGGCTAAGTCCTGATGGTGTTTCTAAGCAAGGATTCGTGACCATGGGGTGCAAGGGCTGAGGACCTATGGCATCAGAGTGAGTCCTGCACCTAGCACTCCTGCATCACCTTCACCTTGCTCACTCTTCCAGCAAAATCCAGAGCTGAATCCCCCACTCAGGAAATGCTGTGGCTGCTACCTGAAGGGGAAGTCCTGCTCTCACAGAAATCCCTTCTGCCCTGAGAATGCCAGGGAGCGTTTTCCATACAGAGGGCTGATTCCTGTTCTCCATGTGCTTGCTTATATAAAACACAGCTATAGTGCTGCCAATCACGATGTGAATCATCTGCCTTTACGTGTGGGAGGAAGGCTCTGAAATGCCTCAACACTGTCTCCTGGTTCCAGGATATAAGGTGAAGTAGTCTGTCTTGAAGTGCAAATACCACATGGCTGGAAGTAATCCCAACCAGCCCCTCCTGAGGAAGGGTCTGGGGCTGGCACCTCTGCCCCCATGCAAGGAGCAGTGGCAGCCCTTGCACATCTCCAGTGGCTCCTCCCAGCCTTGCAGGGACACCAGGACGCCTGCTGCAGCATGCACTGCCATTCCCTTGGGACGGCTGTTTGGCTGATAGATAGGTTTTGCAAGAGAAACTTTCTGAACTTCCTCCTCCCAAATCTGCAGTGTGCATCAGCTGCTCAACAGAGCGAGCCCAGAGCATGTCGGAGCCATGCTGGCGGGACAGAGGTGCACAGGAATTACAGCAGCTCTGGCTGGGGCTGGAAAGTCTCAGCTATTGCCTCCCATCCCTCACTGGAGCCACATCCACTCAGCGTTCACCAGAGCTACACAGACCCTCTCCCTCTTCACAGACTTCAGTGTGGCCATGGGTGCTGGGATGTGTAACGGGCTGAAGACCTGGGGTCTGAAGAAAGGTGGATTCACCTCTCCAGGGCTGATTTCTCCATAACATGCATCTCATCCACACCAGCGAGCAGCTCTAGTGGCCATGGTGGCTGCTTCACTTGGGTGATGGAATGCAGGAACATCCCCAAAGGGTGCCGTGAGCTAACTCAGCCTCAGCCAGAGCACCTGGCACACATGCAACTTGCACGAGTGTTCAGAGAGGATTTTTGTGTCTCATTGCTCCAAGTCACTACCCAAGTAACAGAGTAAATGCACTTGGAGCTGTGCAAGGCTTGGAGCTGTGCAGGGCTGCGGTGAAAGGGGAACAGTGCCAGCACTAACTGTCCCAGAACAGAAATGTGTTACAGGCTCAACTTGCAAAAGTATTAAATGAGAAGAACCTCCTCTGTCAACCCTCCCCCAGGCGTGTGGTCCCAGCTGTGTCCCCAGCTAAGCACAGGATCATGCCAGTCACACCACAATTTCACTCCAACATTGTGTAACCTGGGGAAGGAGGCAAGAGGCATTTTTGCATGTCCGTGGGGACTGGAAGGTGCTAAGGGCAGAGATTATCTCTGGGGGGGGGGGATTTAGGAAGTGTACAAAATCGTTCCGATCACTTACACACTATCGAACCACTGGCTGCCGGGAGGAGAGCAGATCTGTAAGCAGCAGGCAGTGTTGGGTTTAGAGAGATTACTTTTTAAGACAAAATTACAAAGCAGTGGACTCTGGGGATGGCAGATGTTTGGATTTTAGCACAGCACTTAAGAACTGAACAGAAACGATTTTTTCAGACTGCTGTGGAATAAAAACCCCATCACCTGGGCCGAAAACTGTCTGAAAGGCCATAAAAAGAAGGTTGCATTGACTGGGAAAAGATGGAGTTAGAGAGACCTCAGTCTGCATATGGCCCCTCCAATGCAGCAGGATTTCTGCAGGGTTCAAGGTGTCTGTGCAAGCCAATATGGTCCCAGAGCCCAGAACAACCCCCTTGGAGAGCATAGGCAGGCTTGCACCTCCTCATCATCTCATTCAAGCACAGGGTGTGCTCTGCCCTACAGCTCTGCTGCCAAGGGAGAGGACCATCGCCCCATGCCCAGCCCCAGAGGAGGCTCTGCCCTCCCAGGGACTGCGCGGAGGAGGCAGCCTGGGAAGGTGCTGCTGTGCTGAGCACAGACAAGACCCTGCAGGGAAGGTAACTGCCTCAGGACAGTGCCACGGTCACATTTTTTTTGACACCTTGATTAGCAACCCAGAGAAATGGGGACTGGTAGAGGGGTGAAAGGAAGAAATAAACCTGCCTCAGTATCAGCAAGTCTTGTTGGTAGTGTGTCTTCTGGGGGAGTGAGAAGTGGAGCACGTTGGCTTTGGGTATTTAAGCAGAGCTTGAAGACAATTACAAGCTTCTGTAAAATGGGCAAGGATCTCTTGCAGATCCTGCCTGGGAAGTTCTTGGGCACCAACAGGTACTTTCAACCTTCCCAAACTGAGAAAGAGGGAAAATGGCATCAGTTGCACAAGGCTTGCAAGGAAGAGAGAGGCACTGAGGTCTTTGCTAGTACCAGTCTACTCAGGAATGGGTGAGCCATTTCCAGCTGTAGGCTTTGTCATTGAGATGAGGGCGCTTCCTTTTGAGAACTTTAACTATCAGTAAAGGCAGTATAGAAATCCGCAAAATGCAAACAAATGACAGGCCTGTAAAGCAGAAGTGCTTTTTAGGCGTGGATTATTCCCTGGAGCAAAGGCTGCAGCTTTGCTGATATTTACAATGACTCAGTGCACTTGACTTTAAAAAAAAAAAACAACCCTGAACAGTCGCAACTCTCCAACCTCCAAAAAAGCCAGCAGCAGCTGCAGAGAGCTCCAGCGCTGACAAGTACCTCCCCAGGCAGCAGCACGGTGCACAGGCAGCCGGGCTGAGCCAGCCCCGGGGGCTGCAGCATCCACATCCTCCTCTCCCTGTGCTGGCAAGGTCTGAGTGCCAACGGAGACAAATGCACAGACCCTCCCCAGCATGGGCAGGGGACCTTGGCAGCTGTGACTTTGCAGAGGCAGAAGACACGTAGCTCATGGACATGCTATTTGTCTCCAACACATGCTGGCAGGCCTTCCGTTGGGCTCTGGGTATGGTGCAGCACCAGACTTGGTCCTGAAGCCCAGGAAATATCATCATGCCCTCCATGGGCACAGACCATGTCGTTCTGGTAATACAGGAGAGAACAGATATGGGCAATCACATGTAGAGCTGACTCACTGTGTCCTCCAGTTTGTTGCCACTATCTCTGTAGACAATCTGCAGGAAAATGAGAAGAGCCAGCCAAGGAAAAGAGGGATCTAGCAACTAAATCCTAGATGAGACATGTCTCAGAGGAAAGGCCACGTAACAGGCACTCTGGGTGCCCAATTATACTATCCAAAGCTGAGGCCAGTTCTCCCCCTCCTGTTTACATTACTCCATTTCTAAAAAACCCATTTGAATATGCCCTGGAAACCTGGGACGTGATCAGTGCACTTTACAAAGGGAGGTGTGACTGTATCGCTCAGGAGGTGGCCAAATCAGAGCACGGCGCAGGGGGAGTGCTTGGCCAAGGGCTGGGGAGGGATTTGTGCCAGTGCTAGGAAATGCACCACCCCAATTCCCGGCCCCCAACCCTGGCTGGAACTGCAGCATGAGACTTGAGACACAAAGACAAGAGCTGGGAACAGTACTGAGGCAGGGCTGAGCACAGCTGCCAGTCAGAAAAGCCCTTGTTCCTGGGCTGGCTGTGAGGCCAGGGTGCACACCGCTCCCCAGTTCCTCCCAGAGAAGGACAGTGCCAGGCACCAGGGCACTTGGGCAAACCTGAGGCTGCCTGCACGTCTCTATCCTGTCACATCCAGGTCTTGTGCTGCCTTTAAAATGGTTTCCTGGAAAGATCCACAATTTGCTGCGTGGGACCATGGGCATTGTCCCCTGTTTAATGAAGGCAGTGCACTGGCTCCTGGGCAGCTGGTTTCATTTACCTCCTCTTTCATTTTAAAGAGAAACCTCTGCCCCTATTATCTGACCTCTTCTTCTGTTGCAGTTAATTATATTAAATCCTACTTCCCAAAGCTCAGGAATTTCCGGATCTACTTTGTTGCCTGCTGCTATAGGGAAAGTCTGCTAGGAATTAGGGCACTCTCCTGCCGGGAACGCTGAACGGGGCAGATCCCCGCTGTCAGCGTGACACCCCACCGCCACTGCAGCTGTGAAACCATGACGCCTCTGCCAACCGAGTGGACCCCATCCCTGAGCATCTTCCCGAGGAGAGGGCAGAGCCCCTGTCTGCAGCACAGGACACAGCACTGCTCTCCCCAGAGAGGAGAGACAGGATGCGATCTGCTCCCCCCAAGTAAAGACCTGTGGGCACAGGGGAGAGGTGCTGCCCACCTCCAGTCAGCCAATAAATGCACTGATAAAGAAGAATGACTAGGGGCTGCTCTCTGTCTCTAAATGCACAGAGCACACCTATGCCTTTCTCTGCCTCCAGACAAGGTGCCTCTGTCTGTCCTGATGGTGAGAGCCATGTCTGATTCATGCCACCTCCCCAGCCATGCCCTGGCATCACCTGGGACCATGCTGGTGGCCAGGGCCACAATGCTGCCAAGGACTGTGCCCTCCATCAGTGCAGAGAATGGCAAGCTAGTGAGCAAAGGTGTGCCCCAGCCAGGTTTATTTACAGGCAGACATGGGCCAGCAATTTCTCTATGCAACCTCTTCCTCCAGGCACAATCTCCGAAGACACTGCACTCTGAGCACTCACAGCAGGCTCATGTGAGACCTAATATATACCCTTGGTATATACATTGGTGCATGTGTGCACACTGGGCAACTCTCCCTCAGCACCTTTGGGAAATCTGCCCCCTGTGACTGCCTCATGAGCATCTCCACCTCAACATGTCTAAGCCAGAAGAGATGTCACTCAAACCGAGCCCAGCAAAAGCATTTTAAGCAGCATCTCACACATGCCTGTGTGCCTGGCATCTCTGATTTGCCACATAGGGCAAGTGACTTTCCATCTGGGAAGATAATGTGGCATTGTCCAAGGAGCCACAGTGATAGATGCCCACTAGCTTTGAAGATGCAAACATCTACTTTCCCCATAAGTAATAAGGATTTGTTCTTCAGAGGCAGCATTGCATAAGGATTTGTCCATTAAATATGCCAAAGTTGGAGCTGTGCACAAGACTTCAGATGGAAAACCAGCTGTAGAGACTGAGAGAGCACGCCCAGGGATGGAACTGGGCATGGCTGCAGGTTTAAGTGGGCAGTGGATCTTCACCATGTGTGAGGACACCAGCGCTGAGCAAAGAGATGGCTGTGGGGAAGTTTCTGAGCAGTGGAAACCCACATCCAAAGGCTGAGGGGGTCCGCAATAAATCGAGCGTTTACTCATAACCAAACACCACAAACAAACTAAATTATCAGGGAAATGCCAAAACTCTCCAAGCCACTGTCAGTCCCACCTGCCACACCCTCCTTTAGTGGAAATTCCCTGAGCGTTTTGAAGCCATTCACACATCCCTCTCCAGCAACACATTACTTCTGAAGAGGGAGGCACACATGCTGAGTTACATATGTAAGCGAAACCGTACTCAGAAAGGCTGGCGAGGCTGCTTATTTCCACCCAGTGTCACTTTTCTGTCAGATATATTTCAGATATATTCTGTTTTCACACAGAGAATAGGGATCCCTGCAATGTATTCCCTTCTCAATTCCCTTTCTGGATTGAGCACAGCCTTTTCAAAGGAGTAACAGATTTGACAAATTTATAGCCGATATCCCAGGAGAATGTTAGGGTTTGGAACAGAAATATTCATACTTGAAGTTAGACAGCAGTTTAGTTTCCTGCTAATAATTTTCTTCTTGGATACAAAGGAACTTGTTTTGTTTTGTTTTGCTGTTTGGAGCAGAGGGATGAGACACTGTTTTGACATTTATTCATAAACAGTACAGAAGCCCAGCTCAGAGCTGTGGCCATTGCCAGTCCTCACAAATGCATACGGGTGCAATCTCCAGAGCTGCAAACCCAGGCTGGGGGAGAAGTGGCTCCTACACTGCTGTGGAAACGGGTCAGCAAGCAGCCTCTCAGCCCTGCAGACCCTCGTGGGGAGCTGCACCAGCCCTCCCTCGCAGGTTGCCGCTTCAGCGTGGCTGCTCAGCACCAGTGCCGCCGAGCACTAAGCACCGCTCCTATAAGAAAAGGTTTCAAATCAGCCATGCGGGCAGATTCCCTGCACACCAGAATGAAACTCTACATCTGAAGCCTGGAAGTTTGTTCCTTCAACTCATCCAAGGGCTTGGCCCAGTGATCAAGCCCTGTTGCAGAAAGCAAATTCCTGGACTAAGTAAATGTGATCAGCACATCGTGTAATCATGAAAAGCAAACTCCCAGCTGAGACATAGATCATCGTTGCACAGCATGAGCCTGTAAGTAACACAAATCCCGCTCCAAATGCTCTGCTACCCCACTGCCCCTATTGCAGCAAGCTGCTTCTGCCTGGCGGGGAAGCCCCAGGAGCCAAGCACCCAAGCAAGGACCACTGCGGCACAGTAAGGCAAGCTAAACTCCCTGAAGAATGGGACTTGCTGGATGCTGGTCATGCCTCGCGCTATAAACCACTCTGAGATGCCAACAGTTGCTTCTGCAGGAGGCTCCAAGGTTAAAACACCTACACAGAGCCTGTGGGTGCACGCAAGAAAACCTTATCCCTTAAAACTCACTCAGCTCTTTTTAAGAGCAGGTTTCCAGATGGGCTTTACAAGAGACAGGCTCTACAAACCACACTGCTACACTTCAGCAAAGCAACCCGAGCACCCCACAAAGGGCTGCTGTGAAGAACCAGCTTGGGGAACAAGCCCTATGGGCAGCACACAAAAGCCTACCTTGGACCTGAGACCCTGGCTCCTGTGCTGACAGCCAGTCCCCACGTGGGCAGTTTAATCCAGCATCAGAGCAAATCCATTTTCTCTGGGAACATGGAGGGGTCTCACCATGGTTTTTGCTCCAGTGAACGCCTGTTTCTGAAACGTGTCCTTTCTGTGGCAGGAGAGAGTGCTGCCTGCCCCACAAACCCCTTCTCACAAACCAAAAATCAACTTTGGTGGTCGCCTGCTGTGCTTGCATGTTGCCTCATCTTTGCACTGGCACTTGCACTCCCACTGCAGAGAGCCACAGCCTACTGGGGAGCCTACCTCTGGCCACAGTGTGCAAACTGGGACAGTTGGAAATAAGAAGAGGAAAAAGATGTTTATGGATTTTCCCCCAAATGAAAAAAAAACATTCCCTTCACTTGGTGCTTGTGAACACTCAGTGCTACAACTCAGAGCTTGCTTTGCTCTTCTCAACTGCAGCACATGTAGGAACCAGGAGGAAAATCAGATTTCAGCACCTCTCTGGCAGCTCCAGCTGGGCCTGCATCATGGATGTTCACCCCCTTTCCACTGACATCTGCTCCTGGGGCTCCATCTGCAGCGTAGAACTGCAGCATGTCTACGGACATCTGAGACCCTTACAAAATGAAGTGGGGACTGGGGCACTATGCATTTACCATTGGACTGAGCTGCCTCTCCCTCCTCTGGGTCAAACTAGTTCACCTTCAGGCCAGCAGTCACGGGGAGACAGTGATTGGGGTGTAAGGAAAATGGCTTTCAGATAGTCCCATACATCTGTCACATGTGGCTTTTGCTTCCCTGTCATCCCCACCCCGGCCACCACCGGAGCTGCCTGTGCTCCCGGCTGCCTCCAGGGACAAAGCAGTCCAGCACAGGGCTTTGTTTCCAGCAACCAGGCAGGCCAGGCATGCAGGCAGTGGTATTTTTAGTCTCTGTCTCAGCTGCAGTGGTAAAGGTTAATATATCCCCTTCTGTATTTGTTCAAGAGGCTCCAGAAGGATGGACGGAGCCTCTTTTGCCTATTTAAATGCAGCAGGAGGACAGAGAAGGTGGCTGTCACACGTCTGCCCCCTTTCACACCCAGACAGTACATCAGCTCTGCTCCCAGCATCGGCTGATCACTGCAATTAGTGTTGGAAAGTAGAAGGAATGGTGAATACCTACTGTTGCCAGGTAACAGCATCCACCGTGCTGCCAGCCACTTTCATGAACCTATAGAAAACAGAGGAAGAAACCATATAAGCCCAATGTTGTCACAGGGGAAGTCCTAAAACAACCGATGCCCATCCTGCATCTTGGGACACCAAAGGCAGTCACCACATTCACAGACCCTTTCTAATGAAATCTTTGCATCCTTAAATGGAAGAAATAAATTACACTGAATACAAATGCTTGTGGCAAGCACAGGTGAGAATAATAGAGTGAAACTCAACTGGCAGCCGAGTTCTCAGCATCATTTTGAAGCAGACAGGGAGAGCTTTCAGAACACAACAGCATCTCAGGAACAAGATCTTGGTATATGTACTTAGTTCCATGACTGCAACAACTCTCAATAGTGAGAAAAGTTTTAAATGTCCATCTTAAAAGAAGACACTTCTTCATCCAACATGTATTAAGGTGAGGAGCTCCTTGCCTGGCTTCAAGCAAGGACTGGAAAAATGGAAGAAAATGGAAATAAAACCCAGCAAAGCTATTAGATGTAAAGATGCCACCTCCAGTTCAGGAAGCCCCTGAGCGTTGGAGGATAGGAGGAAAGGCTGGACAAATCCTGCTACATGCTTGCCTTTTTTTGACGCTCTTTCTTTGGCATTGGCTGTTAGCAGCTGATGGGATTCTGACCTGGGTGCACTTTGGGTTTGTCCCATTCCTATGACTAACCACAGCACTTCTATGCACAAGGATACGGTGAGTTATATATATCTGTATTAGTCTCCTGATGGCTTGTGACCCAACTATCTTAAAGAAAATACACCTCCTCCAGACAGCTCCTATTTGAGTCAGACTTGAGGCTACACAAGCTGATGCCAAAACCAAAGCAGTTCTTAATCTTGGGGACCGTATGCAACCACTGCAGCAGCAGCCTCTACCACAGGCTTGCTGTCATCCAAGACGGTCCCTTCCTGGCTCCCTGATCCAGCAATCCAAACTGCACCTTGGAAAACTGTGGCTCCCACGAGGAAGCCCAAGAAGTTACTATATTCTTATGCTTAGGGGCACAGATATGAAAACACATAAAGGCACACACCAATTGGAAAGGCATGCTTTTCTGTTCAGTAGTGTAATGTGTGCTGTGTAGCCGATGCATTTTGAAAGTGATAATGTATGCACACGACAGGAGCCATGGGCCTGAACAAGCGAATGTGATGAGAAAGAAAACGATGTTGTTTTGTCTCGGGCTGCTCTTTGGTGCATGGGGATCCCAGGAACACAGCAGGAATCACACAGCCATCCTGACTCCACCAGAACACAGGGATGAGTGGCGTTGGGTCCTGTGACCCTGACTCCCCTCCCGGCAGCCCCATGTCTGAGGGTGGGGAAGAAAAGGGAAAGTCTGTGAGGAGAGATGAGACCTTCTGTCAGACTAGTTGTTATGGCAGGGAGGAGCAGCAAGCTTTCCAGCACATGAGCCTCTAATCAGGTCTGAAACAAGAGCAGCAAGCTTCAGGCTAAATATAGCTCGGAAACAATAATTCTAACTTTAAATTAATGACGATGGTCAATTATAGACTGGGACAAAAGGGCAGCTGGACCCTGTGAAGCATAAGAGGACACTGGCAAAGGCAGCAGTAATAAATCCCTGCAGACAGAGAGAGAAGAGATACAATTAGAAATGGAAAAACAATAACATGCTGTAAACTCCCGTAGCACTGATGCATCCCTGATTCTGCTGCCTAGCAGTGATGTGAGCTTCAGTGCCCAAGTCTGACTTTCATAAATGCTCTCTTGAGGGTCAGGTCCAGGAGACCAGTGCCAGGGCAGTGGTTTGGGGGTGGTTTCTCCCCAGCTGAGCAGGGTGAGGAGACCAGCTAGACCAGCCCCAGTGAAGCCAGAGGGAGAGGTGTGAGCTCCCCTCCACTCACACTGGTCATCTGGCCAAAAGGGGATTTTGCAAATATTGCTACAGAGAGGCTGCTGTTCAACAAAACTAAGTGTGCAGAAAGATGCCAAATAGATCAAAAAACCCTGACTCCCAGGTTTTAAATGCTCAGTATGGGGATTGCTGCCTAAAATGTAACGTATGAAGTGTATAAGAGTGAACTAATGAACTCTAAACTGAAATTATTAATACAATCTATATTGGGTTTGAAGATCGATATATTGTACTTGGGTTTGAAGATTAGCCCAGCTTGCTTTCCAACCTCAAATGCTTTATGTTCTGGCCACAAAATAAAGCATCCCGAACTTTACTAAATCACCTCTTCAGGCTCAGCTTGGCACTCTCCACTCACAGTCCAAAACCATGAACAGACCAAGCTCAGAGGAAGAAGCTCTCCAGTTTTCCTCTCCACTTCCACAGTGCCTGCAGCAAACACACCCACTACAGCCGTCTTTGAGCAGGGACTGAAAAGCAAAACACAGCCTCAGTATAACCTCCAGCATCCCTGGAGCAGCAGAAGTTGGACATATGTCTGTTCCATCTCTCACATCTCTAGGAAGCTAATTGGTCTGTTGATAAAAAGCTCCTGAGAAAATTTTGGTTTAGGACACAGGCATCACTCAGGCAGCACAGCAGAGACCAAAAGCAGGGCAGAAAAAGCCCTGGCTTGCTTAGTGTTCATCTTCTGTCTTCATAAGAGCAAAATAAATTGGTTAGTTCTGGTAATTTTCAAATTTTACCATAAAAAAATGCATACCTAGCTCAAATTTTGCTTTCCATGCCTGTTTTCCTTTCTCTGTTTTTTTTTTTTTTTCCCCTTTTATTGAGATTTTTGCAGGATGAAGTTCAAAAGTTCCTGGTAAAGCTTCAAGTCCTGACTTAATGGTGGAGTTGTGCTTGGAGCACCCCAGATGACTTGGGCAAGGGTCTCTACTCTCCAAAGGGAATCTAGAGCAGCTCAGCAGCCAACAAGTGGTACTGCATGAGCAAGAGATGAAAGCCCAGCATAGGTGGAGACGCAATGATGCACAGGTATCTGAAGATCCTTGGTTTAGGAATACAGATGTTACTAATCCCTTTATTCCTGTAGCACCTGTGCTGCTCAAACTACAGATTTTGAGGCCAGTGAAGATCCATATGGTCCAAATGACCAGCACTGGCACATTTTTATCTGGGATTTCCTGGACTACGTGATGTCCATGTGTGTAGCGCGGCGCAGGCAGAGCAAACCAGACGCTTCCGGGAGGGCTCAGATCCCTGCACATGTGCTGCACAGATGGGCTGGGCTGGCGCAGTAAATCTGCCATTTTCCTCCACATTGGCCTTTCTCTGTGAGCACCAATCGACCTCACAGCGCATGTGCAGTAAATCCCACCAGGAGCAGTGGGACAAGCTCAGCCCATGCTGTGCAGTCAACGTGGGCAACTACTGCAGCAATGCCCCGTAATTCAGGTGGGTGGCAGTCCCAGGGCATGCCCATGCTGTGTCCCTGGTTGGAATTCCACATATCAGAAACCTGGGCAAATGTACAAGTCCTCCAAATCTGCTGGGGCAGCATCTCTAGGTGGGAAAGCAGAACACGTCAGAGATGTGTGGTGGAACAGGAGCCTCAGGCAGCGAGTTTGTGATACTGAGGATAAGACAAAGCCACTGAACGTGGATATGTCCATCTCTGTACTCTTGCAGCTGCCTGTGTGCCAGCATTCCATGCCAGCATTACTACTTGTGGGGCCATGCATTGAGCTAGAACTGAGGTCCAAGCTTGTTTTGAAATAATCACTGTGAAAAATGTAATCTAACATTGGTCAGTCACCCAAACAGTTCACAGCTCTGTTGCAGAAACGGTAATACTGGCACAAGGTGGGACAGCACCTCACATATCAGGAATGAGCTGTGGGAGAGTGGGGCAGGAAGGCTGTAACTCCACAAGATGGTACTGACACCAAAACTCTATACTGTGAAACCGTGGCTCAAATCTGACCTCTCTTAGAGCATCTCCCATAGCCACATCTTCCAGGGCCCCAACTTTCACTTGAGTGTGGGCACATCTCTGGAATACATCTCCTGTCCTGATTCAATAGTTGCCAGTCATGGAGCACCTACTGCAACCTTAAGCAAATTGCTCTCATGGTTAATTAGCCTCCAAGTATGTTATTTCTCATCTGAACGTGTCTGGCTTCAGCTTCCAGTCACTGGAACTTCCTAGGCTTATTCCTGATACATTAAAGAGCCATCTGCACTTGGAAATCTCTTCCCCATGCAGGTAATTGCAGATTGTCATCCTTTAAATAATTAAAAAAAAAAAAAAAAAAAAAAAGTGATCTTGTAACAAAGAATGCAGCTGCACAAGAAGACAAGTTACCCAGCTGGTTTAGCATTATCATCTGACTCCTGGGTGCTCGACTTCACAAATACAGGTTATTTCATCTGCTGCTCCCTGAAGTACTACAAAAATAAACTGACCCTCCCCAAGCCCAAAATGTAGGAGCAGCACTGGCCTGCCTGTAGTGCCATGGTAGATCCCTAGAGCTGGGTGGCAGATCTCTGCCCTTTGAGCCAATAGCTTTATCTTGTGTCTGAATTGGTTGGTGAGGGGGACTAAGGCACAGGCTTCAACTACTAACTTTTTCAGGTTCCAGCAGTACAACCAAATACCTACAGCAGCAGAGACAGGTACTAGACCCAACTCACACCACTTGCAGCAAAGACTTTGACCTGCAGTACCAAATTTCAGGCAGGGATTTCACTTCAGGGAGCAGAGCCTTGTGGGGACTACGTATAGATCTGCTGCTATATTGTATTCTCTCCCTGCTCAGCATCACCTTTCTTCAATCAACCTGATCTACAGTAGGGCTGCACAAGCCTCCTAGCAAAGTGAGCTTTATGTCCCAGGCTGCCTCACCCAGCCTTGGTAATCTGCACTCCAGGGACCCTGGAGGTTGCATTTGGACCACGATGTTGCATTATTACTGATGTTTTTTCCCACCATTGATTTGTCCAGTCCCTTTCTGAGCACACACCTCTGGCCCCCACAATACCCTGTGACAATGACTTCTGCAATGCCATCACATACCATGTGAAAAAGCTTCCTCCTTCTTTCCAAAGCTTCCTTCCA